GGAGGAGGAGGAGGAGGAGGAGGAGGAGGAGGAGCAGAAGGAGGAGGAGGAAGAGGATGACGAGCCCGCAGTCGGAGGCACGCCTCGGAGCCCTTCAAGGACGCCCTCGTCGTCGTCGTCGTTGTCGTCGCCGTCGCCGTAGCCATCGCCATCGGCACAACCACTGGCAGCACAACCAGCACAACCATCACCAGAAGAACCACCGACAGCACAAGCGGGGCGGGCGATGCGAGCCTCGGCCCCGCAAAAGCCTGCGGGCGAGCACCAGCGCAACCAGCGCAACCATCACCGGCACAACCGCTAGTGCAATTACCACCAACGTAACTACCACCAGCAATCCTTTTCAGGGGTTGCGCATTAACAGTGGCGACAGCCGCCACCAGCACAACTTAATATATTGATTTGTGGCCGCATTGCGGCCAAGCCGTGGTGCGAATGACTACCATCAGCTGGAGACGATGTGGCTCTGCACTGTCGCTCCCTGTGTCACCGGCAGAACAACCAGCACCAACACAATCAGCACAGTCGCCGCCACCAGCACCACCAGTACAGTCAGAACAGCCGCCACCAGCGCAACCACCGGCAGCACAACCAGCGCAACCACCACCAGCAAAACCACCAACAGCACAATCACCAACGGCACAAGCGCCAGCGCAACTTGGTACCACAACCAGCACAACCACGATCAACGCAACCATCACCAGCGCCACCATCGCCATCAGCCCAACCACTGTCAGAACAACCACCACCAGCACGATCAGCACAACCACCACCAGCGCAACCACCAGCAGCACAACCAACGCAACCATCACCATCACAACCACTTACAACACAACAATCAACAGCACAAGCGGGGCGGGCGATTCGAGCCTTGGCCCTGCAAAAACCAGGGCGGTGGAATGCCCTGTCGCCTGCGGGCGAGCACGATTGCGCGGGCGCGAGCCCGCGAAAGAGCAGATTGTGAGGGTGTCTCAGGCGGGGCGCTGGTTTTAGCACCCCTAAGGGGAGCCGCCAGGGGTGTTTGCACGGGCTCGTTCGCGGCCATTTTGTGGGGATGTCTCAGGCGGTTTGCTTGTTTCTGGGCCTAACATCCTTCGCTTGGAGAGCAGACTGTGAGGATGTCTCAGCGGGGCGCTGGTTTCAGCACCCCTAAGGGGAGCCGCCAGGGGTGGTTGCACGGGCTCGTTCGCGGCCATTTTGTGGGGATGTCTCAGGCGGTTTGCTTGTTTCTGGGCTCAACATCCTTCGCTTGGAGAGCAGATTGTGAGGATGTCTCAGGCGGGGCGCTGGTTTCAGCACCCCTAAGGGGGGCCGCCAGGGGTGTTTGCACGGGCTCGTTCGCGGCCATTTTGTGGGGATGTCTCAGGCGGTTTGCTTGTTTCTGGGCTCAACATCCTTCGCTTGGAGAGCAGATTGTGAGGATGTCTCAGGCGGGGCGCTGGTTTCAGCACCCCTAAGGGGAGCCGCCAGGGGTGGTTGCACGGGCTCGTTCGCGGTCAGTTTGTGGGGATGTCTCATGCGGTTTGTTCGTTTTCATGCCCAACATCGCCGGCGGGGCCGCGCATCGCATTAGGGGTCACTCGTCTTCGTCGGCCCTGTCGCCCACGTGGGCGCGCTATTGTAGTCGACCGCTCATGAGCAGACGCTCACCACGGCATGACATAAAACATGAGATGCGCATATGGGGAGTTCCAGTGAGTAATTTTCCGGGGGGGATCTTCCGGAGGGCGCAGGGGGCTCGCGCGGTTTGGCTGGAGATGTTTGAGCGCTGCCAACGCGCCGATTGGCTCGAGCCCGAGTGCCGCCCAGCGCGGCGGCTAACGTTTGAGAAGCTCGGCTGGGAGATTCGGGGGGGGGAGGGGGGGGGCGCCGCCCCAGGGAAGGATGGGATGCGGCGTGCTGATTGGCAGGCGGGGGAAGAGATCCAGCTGCTTCACGACGCGTGCATTGAATTATTTGACAGTGGGAGCGAGACGCCCCGTGCGAACATGCGCGAGATGCTGCGTCTTTTCACGTTTCCTTTTTGCCAGAAGGTGCATGTGCCGAGGCAGGGCCCCTGAGGCCACGCGGCCTTGGGCCCACTGCGACGCGGGCGCCGAGGTCGCGCCGTTGCCCCGGGGCGCCGCTGGGTGCCATCGCGCCGCGCGCAGTTTATGTGGATCAACAGGAGGGGTGAGTGGTCGGTCTATTGCACCCAACGTCGCGATTGCAGACAGGTGGGGGGTGCAGCGACATTTGGGTGGCAGCCAGAACGGCGTTGGGCTACTTGCGGACTTTGCGGCGGCGTTCCCTTCGATCCTGAAAGTGCTCGAGTGCATGGGCGTCCCCGGGCAGATCCGGGTTTTTTTTTTCATGCTCTGCGTGCCGACAATAGCGGAACCATCATGATGGGGGGGGCGCCTGCGGAAAATACGATGGAGGTTGGGACGGGAGTTCGGCAGGGTGACCCATCGTGCATGCGCCTGCTTGCCTTGGCGACAGATTCAGTCCTGCGGTGGCTCGCGTGGAAAGGTAGTCAGCACGTGGACACGGTGCGTGCGTATTGTTTGGGCCTTATTGTTTATCCCCCATGCCGAGTGGGGGCCTGAGTCGATGCTTGCTTGGGCTTCCTGTGGATCTGGAAGGCGCGTTTGGCTTGCACTTCAATCATCGGAAGTGCGCTTTGCTTGGGGGGCGCTCCTCTGGATGCGATCGCTACTCCTGTTGGCCACTTGGGAGCCAATGTGGGGCACGTGGCGTTTGCGCGCGCGGCCAGATACCTGGGTGCGATGATCGGGCCTGAGGGCCCAGCCAGAGCCTGGGATGAGGCTATCCCCGAGCTGCTGGATAGGACGATGGCTGCGCGGCAAGCCGGGATTGGCCGATCGTTGAGCATGCGCGCATGTCATGTACTCTGCTTGTCTCTCCTGCAAAACATCATCCAATTCTATGCTCCACCTCGTGCGCTCCTTGACGCCGATCTGCGATGTGCCTAATTGTTGACGCATGGGCCGTGGAACGCCATGCCCGCGGAGTTGTTGGATGGCCTATGCACGCGCGGTGGTTGGGCCAGTTTGAAGCACCTACCGCATTTGAGTATTGCAGCACGTGCACGATGCGCGGCACATTGCCCCGAGCATCCTGCGGAGTTTGGGCGCGCGCGAGCTTTTATTCGCTCAGGTGAGCGCTGCATCGTATGAGGGGTGAGGGGGCGGTGGAAGGTAAGCTTCACTTACCAGATAGGGGGAGCCAGGTGGAGGGCGATGCCTGCGTTGCTGGATTAGCCGCCGCATGCGCCGAGGAAAGCAGCGCAACGTAAATCGGATGCTCACCTGTTGCGGATGTATCGTCTTCTTTGTCGTAGTGCATTCGAGATCTTGAACGCCCGCGTCGATCGGTGGCTCCCCGAAGTAGAGATTGATGATCTTACCAGCATGTTGCATCGTCTTCAGTGTGTGCGTCGTGTTGCGAGCCCCTCCTTTACGATGGCACAAGTGCGTCTTGCTTGCCGGGGACTGTGTACGGCGGCGCGCTTCAAGACTGAAGCGAGGAGGTGCATGTTCGGGCGCCGAGGGAACCAGGCCAGAGACTGCCTCAGACACTACTCAGTATGCCCACGGCTTCGCGAGATGATCGATCGATGGCTGCACAATGAAATACCAACCCATGGGCATTATTGGTTGTCCTTCCTTTGGTTTTCTGGCACGTCGCCTCAGTCAGGAAACCGTTGTTGGGTTCGCCATCGGTCTGTGATGCGCTGTATTTCGCGCACAATGCCTGGAGGCGCGGTGCCGCTTCTGCTCCGAAGTTGCTGTTCGAAGGCAGGCTTAGAGTTCACTGCCGCTTGCACCCTGCGGTGCAGCCCGCCTGGAACCTGACGCCAGAGGTCGGGCAGGCTGGCGGCGGAAGTGGCAGCGGATGAAACAAATCGCGAGCGCCACCCAGCCCTGCCTCAGTGCATAAGCTCTCGGTTGTGCACCTTTTTTGGGTTGTTGGGCCACCGCTTGGGAGGTGGTGAAACATCTCCATCGACATCCAATCTCTCAAACTTCTCGCACTTATCTTCCATTCACCTGTTCTCTCTTTCTCTCCCGTCTTCCCCATTCCTTCTCGTCCTTCCCATCCTCTCCTCGATTTATATTTTTCTCCTCGTTCGTTCTCCTTAGCCCTTTTTTCTCAAGCCCTCCTTAGGGCCCACGGGGGTCCGAAGGGGTGAGAGCCCCGCAGCCTGGGCTCGAGGGCCTGGCGCAGGTGGCGCGGTGCTCCTCAATGACGGGAGCTCTCAGGTGCCGATGGTGGACGTTGCCGCATAGTGCCTCGTGGGCTTTGAGGGGCCGCCTTAGGACGTGGAATATGTCGCTCGAGGATGCCGTGAATGAGGCCCCGCCCGCGAATGATTTGGACAAGGTCGTGCAGGCACGATGTTTCCTCGCCCAGGAGCGGCGCCTGTGCCGCTCGCTCGCCGCGCCTGCCACCGGCCTCGCGGCGCTTTGGGCCGACGGGTGAGAGGAGGAATTGAGGGGGTGGGCTTTGGGAAACCTGTATCGGCGGGGAGACATGTCGACTTTGTGGCTCCGGTGCTCAGCTTTCGAAGGAGGAAGACGTACCCATACTGCTACCCTTCGCCCGCTTCCCCCTTTTAGGGGCCTCCCGGGAAACCCTCGTCGCCACCGCTGGATTCGCTTCGAAATTCTGGTCAGAACGCGCCCGGGGGAGAGGTCTTGCGAGTCGAGGTATCGGTACCTTTTGATCTTTCCAAGGTGGAGCAATATCCGCCAGTCGTCAGGAGGTCTGCGCATTGATGGTGCGTTGCGGGGCCATGTCATATTCTGGGTTTCGGCTCCGAGTGCGGAGTTTTGGCACTTTGCCTCTGGTGCGTGTCCCGACTGGCTCTCTGGGTTAGCAAAAGAGTCCAACGCACTCCTCATTCTTTCTACCCTCTCCCCCCCTCCTCCTGCCCGTTCCCAGGGGGAGGGTGGGAATGTGTTTTAGAGTGTTGGTCATGGCTGCCCCTGCAGGCGTTCAACGTGCAGCACCAGGGCTTTTCGACTGGCCGGCCAGGGTCGGCCAGAAACGGGGGGGAGCAGGCCGGGAGACAGAGAAGGAGGGGAGGGGGGGGGGGATTCGATAGAGGGATGCGAGGCAGTGGAAGCGGGCGAGACAGCAGGGGGGAGGGCAAGAGGCGGAGAGTGGAAACGGGAGCGGCATGGCACGGAGAGGAGCGGGTCGAGAGCGGAGGGAGGACAGAGAGGGAGGAGGGAGAGGGATGGCCGGTAGCGGGGAGCGGGGCGGGGTGGAGGGACACGACGGAGAAATAGGGACGGGAGGGACAACGAGGAGGAGGGGGAGGAGGAGAAGGGGCTGGCAAGGGGCGGAAGAAAACGAAGGAGACAGGAAAAGAGGATTCGAAGGGATGGGCGGGGGAGCCTTTGGCATAAACTTTGAAATCCCTCCAGGGTGCGGGCAGGCAACGTGGGGGAAGGGGGAACACAAGGATGGAGGGGGAGGGGTGGGAGAGGAACGGAGGGAGATGGGGAGGGGGGATATGAGAGGCAGGGAGAAAGCGAGTGAGTGAAGGAGGGGATCTGATGGAGATGGGGTGGAGGGAGGAGGATTGGAAGTTGGAACATGGGGAGCAAAAGGATCGTTTGGCAAGATGTACGAGGGAGGTATGGAGATGACGATGGGGAAGAGAAGGGGGAGGGGAAGGAGAACCAGGACGAGGCAAGACTGCGCGATGCAGTAGATCACGAGGTGAAGTTTGATGGGTGGCGGAGGTGGTGGAGGTGGAGCAGGATGTGGAGGGTGTCGAGGTGGAAATGGAACACGAGGGCGAGGACGAGATCAATTGCAAGGGCGAGGACGAAGGTCTCTCGACGGCGAGCGCAACGGACGACGAACACATTATTCAAAGCTAGGAGGAGGAAGAGGTGGAGAGGGAGGAGGATGGCGAGGGCCAGGAGAAAATCTGATCAGGGCGAGGTCAAGGAGGATGATAAGCAAGGGGAGCTGCTTGAGGACCAGGAGGAAGAGGAGGAGGAGTAGGAGGAGGAGGTGGTGCATGAAGAGGGAGAGTCGGAGGAGGCAGATTAGGCTCCCGAGAGGGCTTGCGCGGGGGGGGGGGCTAGAGCGAGGAGCGATGAGGGATTAGGTCAGAGGCATGAAAGATGGTGATTGTTGAAACAGAAAACGGGGAGGCGAACGGGATGAGGATGGGGAGCATGCAAATTTGTGCGAGGAGGAGGGAGATGAAAGGGAGACCGTGGTGGAGTCCGCGAGGCGGGGAAAGGGTCTTTGATCCCTGCAGGCAGGGCCAGACAGGCGCTGGCCTCGCTGCCGAAGGCGAGCGCCGCAAAGGTGGCCAAGAAGTGCCCAACAGCAGCAGCATCACGGTAGGCCTCTCGGGGGTTCCGCTTGCGCGTCGTCAGGGGAGGTCACATCGAGGTCTGCCAGCCTAAGCTGCTGGGGCTGGCGCTGGCGCGTCCTGGGGGCATGCCTGATCCAGGATCCAGGCTTCTGGACGTGTTCTGGCCCGCCCCGTGCGCGGCGTCAGGGAAGGTCTGTCGGCCTGAGCTGCTGGAGCTGGCACTGGCATGTCCCAGGTGCCCCTCTGACCGATGTTGGGGTTTCATCATACAGTGGAGGCCCATGCCAAGAAACACCCTGCTCGCCTTCAGGGTGCCCTGTGTTTCTTGCGATTCGACGGTTTTGCCATGGGCAGCGTGACGTTCCCACACCGAAAATCAATGCACGTCCTGGGGTCGCAGTGTTCGGTTTGCTTGTGGAAGGTTCCTCGTGGTCGGCCCCCCACTGTATCCACCGCCTGGGGCCCAGACATATCTATATCCACCGCCCGCTGGGGCTGCAGGACGTCGGTTCCCAGGCGCTGGATATGGATAAAAATCCCCGCCTCGCACCCCGATCCAGGGTCCAGGTTTCTGGGCATGGTCGGCCCGCCTGGGGTTTGTTGCTGGAGGTTCTGGAGACCTTCCTGGGGGCTCCGAGCTCAGCAGGCTGTGGTCGACAAAGCCTCCATGGTGGGATGTTATCGCTGAATCGCAGTGCAACCGGGAGGCGATGGTGACGGGTGCCCGTGTTTTGACGTGCTAGTGGCGCGTCCTTGTTCAGTTCCCCAGTGTCATTGGAAGTGGCAGTTCCTACGCACTCGCAAAAAAAAACAGTCTCATATTGTTGATCACTTCCACATTCGATGTGTCGGTGCGGAGTTTGTCGTTGGCGAGATTGGGGAGGGGCAAGGATACGAGTTTGAAGTTGGGAAAATTATGCTGGAAGAGCAAGATGAATGGGGTTGGATGGGGAGGGCAGGAGGAAAAGGAAGGAGTAGCAGACCAATTGGACGAGGACGTGGCAGAGGACGAGGAGTAGGGAGGAGAGGTGGGAGGAGGATAGGCACGAGGTGGAGGGTGGACATGGAGGTGAGGTGACGGTGGAGGACGAGGAGGGGAACGGGGAGGGAACATCTGGGAAATAATGTACATTATGATGTCTTTGCTTGGGAGTTTTCGTGTGCGTGTATTGTCGCCAATGGTTGGCTGTAGACAGGAACGCGAAGCGATGCACGTCAAGGTGCAATTTCAACGACGTCTAGCTCGCGTCCATGTGTTGTCTCGTGATTTCTTGCCTTCTTGATTAGTCGGCTGGTGGAGTGAAATATTCCTGCTCATCCGCCCCCTTTTCTCTCATGGTCCTTCTCTCTGCCCTTGACTTGTTCCCTCTGTGTATCTCTCCTCCTTGTGGTCACCCTCCTCGTCCCACTGGCTGCCTCTCCCTAGCCTCGTTCTCTCCTCCCCTACTATAGCCCGCCAGGCGTTTCTCCTCCTCCCCCACGTCCGGCCTCCAGCCCCGAGTGGTTCAGTGATCACATGACGGGGCGGTCTGACCCGCCTCACAGAAATCTTGGTGTTCGTCCGCGTATGCTGCATGACGGCCGCCTGCGGGCGGGGTTTCTCATGCTACGCGCCTTCTGGTACAGTCCCGTGTGGGCGTCGGGCGACATATTGGCAGAAATATGGAACGAGTCCCAGAATTACGATCTTGTCCTCATGACCGCTACGCAAGCTGGCGACCTCCTTCGTGGAGCACAGGTTCTCCATCGCAGGCTTGATGGTCGAATCGTCTTCGAAGTACCCCACTCTCCTGCTCCTTTCAGCAATCGACGCTGCGGGGTACTGATCGCCCTCGGACCCTACAGCGCGAGGTAGGTGCACCGGGGAGTCCATCGGGGGCAGCAGGCAGGGCAATGGCAGCTCGCTTGAAACATGGCCCACCGGATGTATGCGCGATCGGCCTGTATTTTCCCCCAGCCCTTTAAGAAAAGTTTGAATCCCAGATGCTCTGGCACTTTTAAGGTTTTGTGTGACTGGCTGGACCGGCCTCTCACCGGGTCTACTCGTTGTGTTCCAGCACTGTATTGTCGCATCAATGACGGAATGGTGGAGAAGCGGGGGCAAGGCAATTGTGATTACAGCGACGCGTGTGGGTGGGTCTCCTATTCGAGAGCGTCTTGTGGGAGGGATTGGGCATCGGTTCCGCCAACAAGCATCACATGATTGCAACTAACGCGCGCACTCATGTGAGAACACGCTATTTGGGGAGAAGGGGGTGGCCAGTAGGATTGACTACATCTGTGTACTCTCGGGTATGGCGGGGTTGATTCACGTCTGTAGCCCCCTTTGGGGCTTGGGAACGCAGTGGCAACCTGTGCGCGGTGCAGGACAAGTCAGGCGACGCTCGCCTTCTCACGGACCAGACCCGGCGGGATCAGGACAGGATGATAGAGGCGCTACGGACGGGGAGTGGCCGGTGGGAGTTGTTTGGAACGGCGGCGGAGGAGTTCATGATCATCCAGCCAGATGAGATACGATATTGGGTCTCGCCAGATGCAGTTATGGAAGTCCTGCCCGATTCCGCAGGCAAAAACAATTTCTGGAAAGGGCGCCCCCGCGCCTTGATTATGCTGATGATTGCGCCCGTCGTCGAGGGTTGCTGCGTCAGCGCGTGTCTCTTGGACGTGGTAATCTCGGGCCCACTACTTCCGAGGACGTGGCCGCAGATGCTGAGCTCGAATCAGTTCCCCATCAACTGCAGATCGACCGTCGACGGGCTCTTGCGTTCTTGTCGAAACCAGCTCATGACAGAGGCGTCTGTGTGCTGGGAACGACGGCGCACTGCCGAAACGGTGCTCGCATCGACGAGGGTTGTTCGGTGTCGTTTTGGCTTCAAGAAGCGGGGCGCCCGACTCGCAGTCATCACGCTTATTTCATCTGGCGCATGGCTTGGAGTCCGGAGGGAGCCAGGGGCGCAGGGAGGGACGGTGGAGGAGGTGGACTGGGATCAGTGGGGGGCTAATCGGGGGAAGGAGGTGGAGGCTTGATTCGATGAGTTTGAGAATCCAGGGTTGCCAGCTCTTGTGGAAGAAGATCTGCGGCCCCTTCGGAAGTACCCTTGTTTTGCCCGAGCGCGCGAGCAGGTCCCAGAAAAAAAAACGGCAGCCGTAGAGTTATGGCGTCTGTTGTCGTTTCCAAAATGGCAAGTCCAGGTTCTTACAGGTCTAGGCGCACCAAAGGAAACATTTCGAGTTCCTGCATTCTGGTAGCTCCGTCATGTATTTTTATTTGCGCTGCGTGTCTCTATCAGTTGGCCTCCCCCTACTGGCACCGCAGTCAGAAGTCAATGGGCTGGAGTGGAGAAGGTGGAATTCAAGAACCGGCGCGCCCCACGCGTCTTCATCCTCATGGCAGCCGTCCATTACGGGCGCAACCTAGCCCAGACATGTAAGGGAACCTTCATCCAATTTTGGGAGGAACAGTTTTCGAATTTCCGCTGAATTGGAGATCGGCCGCGCTTGCGGCCGTTGTCGGGTGAAGGCGCGCCGTCCGGATGACAACGCACTTCAGACACGCGGTCGTCACATGCAGCTCCTCACGAGGAGCAGGGCCATATACGTTTTGGCGGAGCTAGCGGAGGAGATGGTCATGCTGGGAGGGGGGTCTCTATCCGTCGGGCCCTGCATCGAAAGGGCCGTTCGAACGGGAGCTCTCCTAACATGTAATTCGGAGTGGGCGCCAAGCGAGAGCCCCAGAAGGCAGCGAGCGGCACCAGGAAATGATAGCTCGAGGTACTATAGCACTTCAATCAGCCCGTCAATCGCTTCAGACACATCTGCATGATGATCTACCTGCTGCACCAGTCGTAGTACTACCCCCCAGCCGAAACGCGAGCGTCGAGGGAAGGGTCGGTGTCGGGGTCGGGGCCAGGCGTCGGCGGATGATGGGCCGGGGACAGCGGCAGCACGCCGAGAGCGCAGCGACGGAACGTGGCTGCGCTTCGCCCGCTGCTGCCTTCCCGCCGTCACGGAAGAGTGCCGGGCCGGACCCGGAGCCAGGCAGGGCCCCGCGCCGTGCGGGCCCGCGCCCCGAGCCCCCTGCGCGGGGACCCAGCGGCTGCGGGCCAAGGACCAGTGTCGCCTATAGCGCAGAGAGAGTCGCAGACCGGCCGATGCTGCAAGTGTGGAGGAGTGGCAATGTTGTTTTTGTTCCAGGATCTCTTGTGGCACGCGCTGGGCAGCTCTGGGGGGAGCCGTTCGGTCCATTGCTGCAGTCCTTGGATTCCATGAGTTCGAACCGAATCGGAACCTCCGACCCTCCCCCTCCTCCTTCGGTTCCTTCTGTGCTGCCCTCTCCCCCAACCCCCCTGTTCATCCCTTCGTCCGCCCCTCGCGCTCCTCGTGCCCCCCGCGCCACATCCAGGCGTTTTGTTTCGCGGCGCGCGCGCTCCTCCCCCGCGCCCCCCGCCCGCGCGCCTCTCGGCCCGCGGGGCGCCCGAAAACTGGCGCCTGGTACTGCGGCGGGCGCGCGCCCCCCAGGAGTAGCGTCGGGCACCTACAGCGCCCCCCCCCCCTCACAGAGGGGGGGTCGTGGGTGGAGTTCGTCGGCCGTCTCGACGGTTTGCAGCGGCTTTTCGGCATCGGGATGTTGCCCAGCATCTGCGCGTTGCCCAGCATCTGCGCGTCGCCGAGAGCGTTCCGGGGGTACCCGAATCGTTCCGAACGTCCGCCGGAGACCCAACGTACGACCCGACGCCCCTGATGCTGGCCTCGACCCCCCCCCCCCGCTGAGGAACACGAGGAGGAGATGAACCAGAATAATCGCGGGACGCGCCAACGATGCTGCAAGAAAGCCTCTCCCATGTGTTCTCTGGGCCCGAAACAGCGCGTTCTGTGGACGCTTGGAGGGGGGCGGGTTCGAACTGGACCCCCGCTGGATGGAAAGGGGGGGGTCGAGCCCCCCCCCCTCCCGTGACGGCGGGGGGGCCCTCCCTCTCATCCGGCCGGCGTCGGCAGCGCCTGGCGGCAGCGGCGTGGAGCGTCGATGAGGGCGGCGGTTTCTTTTTCTGGGCTGGCGCCGTCGCTTGCGGCGGCTGGCGGCTGCGGCGGGAAGCGTCGACGAGGACGACGGAAACGACGACGACGACGACGAGTCCTGATGGATGTCTCTTGGGTCTTCGTCGGAGGGTTTTCGGGGGCCTCTGACGGGCATCTGTGCCGATTCCTGGGCGCCTCTTGGGCATCTCTTGGGTTCTCTCTGAAGGGGTGGAGGTGGTGGATTGTGGTGGTGGTGGTTCAGGCGATGGTGGTGGTGGTGGTGGTGGTGTGGTGGTTGGTCGTGGTGGTGGTTATTGTGGTGATTGTGGTGGCAGCCTGTGGTGTTGGTGGCGGTGGTGGCAGGTTGTGGTGGTGATGTGGTGGTGGTGGCGGTGGTGGCGGTGGTGGTGTTGTGGTTCATCGTGGCGGTTGTGATGATGGTGCTGCTAAGACGAGCCTGTCCCTCTATAGGAGGAATATTCAAATATAGTCGAAACATCGTCCATGCTTTGACCCTTTGGGGGTCTGTTTTGACTATTTTTTATTTTTCGTCTAAAAGCCCTCTGTCGGAGGACAGGCCCGACTTAATGGTACTGGTTGTGGTGGTGGTGGTTTGTGGTGGTGGTGGTGGCGGTGATGGTTGTTGTGGTGGTGGTGGTGTGGTGGTGTGTTGTGGTAGTGGTGGTTTGGTGGGTGGTGGTGGTGGTGGTGTGTGGTGGTGGTGTTGTGGTGGTGGTGGTGAGCTGCGATTGTTGTGGTGGCGGTGGTGGAGGTGGTGGTGGCGGTGATGATGGTGGCTGCAGTGTGGTGGTTTGTGGTAGTGGTCGTGGTGGCGGTGTTGGTGGTGGTGGTGGTGGGTTGTGGGGGTGGTGTTGGTGGTGGTGGTGGCGGTGTTGGTGGCGGTGTGGTGGTTTGTGGTGGTGGTGGTTGCGGTAGTAGGTTGTTCTGATGGTGAGGTGGTGGTTGTGGCGCTTGTGGTGGTGGTGCTGGTGTGGTGGCTTGCGGTTGTGGTGGTTGTGTGTTTTGTGGTGGTGGTGTGGTGGTTTGTGGTGGTGGTGGTTTTGGATTGTGCTGCTGGTGGTGGTGGCGGTGGTTGTGGCGGTCGTGGTGGTGGTGGTGTGGTAGATTGTGGTGGTGGCTGTAGTGGTGATGGTGGTGGTGTGGTTGTTGTGGTGGTTCATGGTGGGTTGTTGTGGTTGTGGTGTGGGTGTTGGTGGTGGTGGCTGTGGTTGTGGTGATTTGTGGTGGTTTGTGGTGGTGCTGGTGTGTTGGGGTGGTGCTGGTGCTGGTGCTGGTGCTGTGCTGGTGATGGTGGTGGTGGTGGTGTTGGTGGTGATGCTGCTGCTGCTGCTGGTGGTGCTGGTGGTGCTGGTGGTGGGTGGTGGTGGAAGTGGTTGTGGTGGTGGTGGTATGGTGGTTTATGGTGGTTTATGGTGGTTTATGGTGGTGGTGGTGGTTTGTGCTTGTGGTGGTGGCGGCGGTGGTGGTGGTGGTGTGGTGGTTGGTCGTGGTTGTGGTTGGTTGTGGTTGTTTGTGGTGTTGGTGGTCGCGTTTGTGGTGGTGGTGGTGTAGTGGTTTGTGCTGATGGTGGTGGTTGCGGTGGTGGTGGGTTGTGGTGGTTGTTGTGGTGGTGGTGGTTGTGGTGGTGGTGGTGGTGTGGTGGTTTGTTTTGGTGGTGGTGTGGCCTTCGGGCCTTCGGCTTTGGGTCAAAGTTCCAATGGATGCATCTTGAGGTATCGTGAGAGGGGTTTCGGGGGCGTATCCGGAACATTTGTTAAGCGTCCTGGACCTTCCTAAGGGCCTCTCGGTGGCTTTTGGGGGGCGAAGGCTCGATATGGCGGTTTGTGTTTCCCCTCTGCAGCCTCTTGGTCCTCCCTGTTCATCGTTGCTGCGTCCCTGCCGTCGGCGCTGCTGGCCGCTGGCGCCAGCGCCGGCGCTGGCCCTCCCCGAAGCGGCGCTCGCCGAGGCGAGGTCGCCCAATTTTTTGCTCCTGCTGCTCGGTGCATTTTGCTTTCAGCATTTCCCACTTATGCTGTAAGGAGTCGCATGTTTGGCTGATGTGGTGAAGCCGTGGAGGTCAAAGAAAAACGCTGGCCCCGGCGCCGAGGCGGGGAAGGGGGGTTTGGACCCCCTCCTCCCCTCCCTGAGCCCTCTCTGGTGCTCGTGGCTGCGTCCCCGCCGTCGGCGCTGCTAGCCCAGGCAGCGCCGGCGCCGGCGCCGGCCGGCGCCGGCCCCCTCCCCAGGGAGGGGGCTTACGTCAAGCAGTGGCGAAGCGTCTTGGCTCGCCTATAGGCCCCCAAAGAGTGTTCTAAGGATCTTTAATGTTCTTAGAACATTTCAGGTTGGGACTGTCTTGGTTGAACACATCGGATCTATGTTATAAGAACATCATCGTTGTTCTTGGAACATTTTTGGGTTCTAAAAACTTCGTGGTCGGCCAAAAGGAATGCCGGGACGGTCGGTCCCTGCCAAAGGGGGGGCGGGAGTCCCCCTGATTCTGATCGACGGCGATGAGTGTTGGGGGGGAGGTTCCCCCCCCAGTTCGAAACGCGCCGCCGAATGTTCCCAAGGCAAGCGCCCGTGAAGCGCGCTCTCTCACAGATCCCTGCGTACACGAATGTGTTTGTATTGCTGGAAATGCCCCTTTGGAAGACACGTGTCAAACACTTCGATCCCACAAAAGACCAGACATTAGATTTTAGCGCCGCGACACGACGTGACTTTTGTGCCCGGACAATCCTAAACCGCGTCAAAGCATCATTTGTGGGGTTTCAACACCGCGAATCAGCGATACCGCTGCATTGCGGCAATCATAAGTCGCGCCAGAGTACCATGACAACCATATGGCTTGTACTGGGTACGCCACGGTGTCGCAATATACAAACCACGCCCGCGACCGCAGCAGACATCCCGCCCACCACGACAGCCGGCGGCAGAGAAGAAGACGGATTGGAATTGAGGGAAGATCTCCTACGAAGATGAACGCACGCATCCCTGGAGCATGATCAGCGCGCATGCTCTGAGGACTGGCCTGCGGTATATTTCAAACGGAAGTGGTGGTTGAAATCGCGAGTCGCAACTCACGACTACGACACATGGGCGCGGCTGTCATTTCACTAGGCTCCGAGCACCCACGACCCACGCCCAATCCAGCGACGCCACGGAGGACAAGGTGAGTCACGGGATACCGAAGTCACGCAATTCCGACGCACAGTCAGTACGCGCGACGGCGACGACGACCACAAAAGTTGGATGCACAGTGCGACGGGCATGGAAACATGTTTTGCCTTGGAAACGCAACTTTTGTGTGCGAAACTCCCACGCCACGGCCTGAGGCCCCCCCTCCTCCTTTCTCCCCCCTCGCCTAGCTGCTTCTTTTTCGGCGTCCCGGCGCCACCGCCAGGCTCTCTCGCAGGGCCGTCCCCCGGGGCGACAAACTGGCGCCTCGCCAGAGTGTTTTTTTTTTTTTTTTTGTTATCTTCGGATATCAAGCGTGAGAACCCTGGCATGTGTCACGGTGCCAGCATCGCAGAGCAGTTTTCTGTCGGAAAACAATAAGGATGGGCCCAGAGTGCCCTGGAGAATTTCGCGCGGTTCTTGTTGGCCAGGAAGGAGTAGTGAACTTCACCGCGTCTTTCGCTCGCCATGTCGGGGCGATGCATGGAGAGAAATCCACACCAGAAATCCGTTGCAGCACGTCTGCAAGGTCAGTGCAATGACATTTGCTGCGAACTTGTCAGAAGAATGCTCGGAGCTCGAAAGTTAGATCGCATTCTGAAATAGGACCGCCATCCATCCTCGAAGCCCTTGCAAACTTGTAATACGAATGTACGCGGAGCTTCAGCGATAATTGCATTTTGGAAACCACTCCCTCCATCCGTGAAGCTGGTGCGAATGTTCGTTGGGGCGAGAGCACAGTTTGAAGACATCCATCCGCGGACCAGTTGCAAAATCATAAGGTAAATGCGCGCGGCGCTACGGGCAGAATGACATGTTGAAAACGGCCCGCCCTCCATCTTCGAACGTGTTGCTCTGTTTTCGAGCGAACTGGTGCAGACTGGTTCAAACGACCCGTCGTCTCCACCCGTGAAGCTGGTGGAACTTCCAAGCGCATGGTGAGGACGTCTCGAGCGATGCGCCTGGCCCGCCCTACGGACACACCTTGGGGGGCGATTGGGGAGCGGTTATTTTTGCTGTGGGCCATGGCAAGGGTGAGGGGCGTTGTGAGGGGGAAGCGGTAGAGGGAGAACGGCAACGGCAGCGGGAGCAGGGAGGATGGGTGAGGAGGGGTGCGTGGTGAGGGGCGGGGGGCAACAGGGACAGGTAGGGATGGCACGGATGGAGAGGCTGAACGGGAGAGGAAACAAGGCAGCGGGGGTTGGAAAAGGAGGGAGGCAGATTGTGAAGGAGAATTGGGAGGGGGGAGGAAGAGAGAAGGTTGGGGGGAAG